AGCAAAACCAGCAAATCTGTGGATGCCGAATTGCGTGACACACGAAGGGTGAGGCGTAAGGTTGAGGTTGGATCAGAAGAACGCAGGTAGCTAAGGATAGTAAGGCCTGTATGAGTGTTTCGGAGACACACCATACATATAAATTTAAATTTTCAAGGGTTCTAGCCAAGGTAGCTTGTTGACCAATCTGATGGAGTTTGCGGACATTGAACGCGGCTGCGATAAGGAAATTTTGGCTTCAAAAATTCGGTAAGTTCTGATTGTCTGGCCTTGTTGGTAAAACGCTGAGTGATATCCTATGGGTTTCGTAAACAGGATGCAAGTGGGATTATTCGAGATTGGGAGGTAGAATTGGACGGATGGGAAAGAGGGTTTCCATACGGGTGACTAAGACTTAAGGGTACGACATACTTGGCGGAAGCCCACACCGTCGAAGGGGCTTTGCGTTGGGAACCCTAACCGGAGCCTTCGACTCAAAAGTCTGACCCACAAGGCAATGGGGTGCAGATCCAACGCTGTAGTGTGGCGAAGCACCCGTGTGGGAAATTCTGGCGACCTACCACGCAAGGCCGTTGGATTCCGGTTCAGTAAGCTTTTCGCTAGTGCGTTGATTTTTGGTCCACTTTTTGGGATTGGCCCTTAGGCTCATGCACCCAATGAGAAAAGCGGAACGCGGACGGGACAAAACCTTATTGCCTGGGGGCTGCCCACCTTGGGCGGGCGTAAGCTGTTACAAAAAGTGCGAAAACTTCTCCCACCGTCGAAAGAAAGCCCCCGGTACCCCGCTCCTACGTCCATCTAGTGGGGTTTTTTGGCCGGTAAACTGCCCCTCACTGTGTTCATTTCTTGGGGTGACCCCTCCAGGGGTGGGTGTGGATAGAAGAAGGAAACCAGAAAATAGTCAAGTAGTTGATCTTATGAGACTGCGCTTCATCTGGCCTCTACCCGTTTACCTATCAGGCATGACTGGATCTACGGCTGCGAAAAGCCATCCTTTGTTGTTCACGGGTTCATGGAGGCACACAAGCCATCACACAACGTCAAGGTGCAGTCTCGTCTTGAGGGTTGTACTCGCATACCTCTGGTCGAGTGAGGGATTACAGCGAACTAAGTAGACCGTTCTACAGCAGCAGCGGTGTTCGTCAAGGGTCTTTCACCTTTCCTGTGCAGTTTGGTTGTAGACGAAAGACTGTATAACGCACTAAGCGGTCTCCAAAATGTGACTACCGAACGGGCAGCAGGAGAAAAGCTATGAGATTGAAACTACCCCGACTATCTCGTCTGTTTGTTTGAATGTATGGAGGACGCGCAAAGTGCACTTGATAGACCAACAAGTGCGGTTGCTACATTCGGTATGTCCTTGCACCTTCAATGTGTAAATTGATCTTACATGACTGGGTGTCGCCTACTGCCGCCTTGAAACTGAATGGCTAGGAATTAATTATACTGGATTACTTTTCCTACTTGGGTAGTTGCGTGACCAACGATAGAAGCACAGCAAAGGAGCTAGTCGCTCACATTTTCAAGGCTCAAACAACACAAGCAGGACTGAAACAGCTTTAGCGTAGACGCAACGTTTCACCGAAGTGGAAAGGTCATGTTTATTGTGCTAGCGTTTGCTCAGTCGCGCTTTATGGTTGTGAGACTTTGAAGTTTTGAGGAGAAGATATCCCTCGACTATAGGTTTTCGACTATGGGTGTTTATATAGTTCAGCCCATGTAGGATTCATCGAACAAGTTAGCGATCTGGAGGTAAGCCGTCATGTGTTTTGGAATATATCAGGTATAAATCTGCTGGTACATCGAATTCCGATTAGTAGACTTCACTGGCCAGGGCACGTATTGCGTGTACCCATCTACCACATCACGCCTTATTCGCTTTAGCCGTTCCGGGGTGGAACCACGTGAAGTTCAACAGATGGTGTGAAGATCAGGCGTGAAGAAATGCACAGAGCCATTACGTAGAGTAGGTGTGACGCGCCTTTCAGGTTTGGGTCCGAAGGCTCCACAACTGGTTGGTTGAACACATTGAAGGATATGGCANTGATGATGATGATGATGATGATGATTCGGATGATCATGATGATCATGATGATGATGATGATGATGATTATGATTCGGATGATGATGATGATTCGGATGATAGCGATGATGTAGTTGAACCGGAAAATGAGAAGTCGGATAATGATGTTTTTTGGTGATGAAGACCATGGTGGTGACGATGAGGATGATGGCAGGGATGATGATTAGGACGACTACGGGTATGATTCGGATGATGATGATAATCATGATGATGATGATGATGATTCGGATGATGATGATGATCATGATTGTGATCATGGTGATGATTAGCATGAAGATTGTGATGATGTTGATGATGATGATGATGATGATGATGATGATGCTGATGATGATGATGAATGTGATGCTGATGATGATGATGATGATGATGATGATGATGTTGACGATGATGATGTTGAGGATGATGAGCATGATA